ACAAGACAGTGGGAGAGCCCCCACCCAGAGAAACATGTGTTGCCCATCTGAAAGCCAGTTTGAGGCAGAAGTCACGTACATGCTCTCTGTACAGAACAGAAAAGGCTGTGAGAAGATCCACAGAGAGACTTGAGGTTTCCATCATTGTCATGGCCTTCTTGATGCCAGAACATCACTGAAGGGCTGCCCCATCTTATCTGCACCTTTGAAGGGGGCAATGGAACTAGCAGAAACAGATACATCGGGCAGAGGCGAGGATTCCATATGACATTCATCAATACGGGGCATAGATGTTGTGGAAGCAGACTCAGAAAGCTCCTGGGCCTGGTAGGAACAAGCATTGGTCACTAGCTAACTGAGGATGGCAAGAACTCCATATAGTAGGGTTAATGCTGTAATAGAAACTGCCTCCCACAATAATGAAGCACATAAGATGCCACCTATCCTTACTTCTTAGAGATAAAGCTGAGTTAACAGAATATACCTGGCAGTGACCTCAGTATGGTCTTTATCAGAGGACATGGAGGCTCAAAAGAGAAATGGTGTTGAAATAGACCATTAACAATGCCCCTTAAAAGCCATACCTGGGACACTCTAGTTTTGTGAGACCATAAAATGTGATTTTGGTAAGAATTGAGAGTATTGATGTTTCAGGCAGCAAAGTGTTTTAGAGAAAGACTTCCAGTAGATGCCATGCCTACTGCCAACCACGTGACTGCCAGCTATGCCTGCTGGTGACCATGCCCACTGTCTGCCATGCCTACTGCTGTGGGATGCCCTTCTGTATGCTGCAAATATGTGTTGCTTTTATTGCTTGATGAATAAATTTACTTGTGTCTATGTCAGGGCACAATATACATAGGCCAGAAAGCCAAACTGAATATGGGGAGAAAGAAGGTGGAGTCAAGGGAGATGATAGTAGTCTCTAGGAAAGCAAGATGTGACTTGTGGTAAAATATAGACTAATAGAAATAGGTTAATTTAGTTGTAAGAGCTAGCCAGTAATAAGCCTGAGTCATCAGCCAAACAATTATACTTAACACATAGCCTCTAAGTGATTATTTTAGAAGCAGCTACTAGACCAGGTGGAACACAGAAAAGCCTCTGGCTACAACCTTTTGCTGACTACACCTACTGCCAGCCATGCCTACTGCTGACCACACCTACTGCCAGCCATGCCTACTGCTGACCACACCTACTGCCAGCCATGCCTACTGCTGACCACACCTACTGCCGGCCATGCCCACTGCTGACCACACCTACTGCCGGCCATGCCCACTGCTGACCACACCTACTGCCGGCCATGCCCACTGCTGACCACACCTACTGCCGGCCATGCCTACTGCTGGCCACGCCTACTGCCGGCCATGCCTACTGCTGACCACACCTACTGCCGGCCATGCCTACTGCTGACTACACCTACTGCTGACCACACCTACTGCTGGCCATGCCTATTGCTGACCACACCTACTGCCGGCCATGCCTACTGCTGACCACACCTACTGCCAGCCATGCCTACTGCTGACCACACCTACTGCCAGCCATGCCTACTGCTGACCACACCTACTGCCGGCCATGCCTACTGCTGACCACACCTACTGCCAGCCATGCCTACTGCTGACCACACCTACTGCCGGCCATGCCTACTGCTGACCACACTACTGCCGGCCATGCCTACTGCTGACCACACCTACTGCCGGCCATGCCTACTGCTGACCACACCTACTGCCGGCCATGCCTACTGCTGACCACACCTACTGCCAGCCATGCCTACTGCTGACCACACCTACTGCCAGCCATGCCTACTGCTGACCACACCTACTGCTGGCCATGCCTACTGCTGACCACACCTACTGCCGGCCATGCCTACTGCTGACCACACCTACTGCCGGCCATGCCCACTGCTGACCACACCTACTGCAGGCCATGCCCACTGCTGACCACACCTACTGCTGGCCATGCCTACTGCTGACTACAACCACTGCAGGCCATGCCTACTGTCTATTGCTTCAGACAGCACCCTGACAGGTAACAGAAGGAGGCTCAGGCTTAGCCTTCCTTCTTTGTCCCTCCCTTCACTGCACCTCGGTTGTTACCTGGGAACTGCCCTCCACTTCACTTCTGACCTCTCCTTGATAGTCATCCTTTGTCTTGGTTCCAGCTGCCACAACCTCAGCCCAACTCTTGTCACATATTACGAGTCACTCTGAGAGCTTTGTAAAAAGAACCATTATCACTGGAAGGAAAAGGTCAGCTCCCGAGCTTGATCAAGTTTGTTCGGGTCAAGCATTATTAATGTAACACAATGATCCTAAGATATTGTCAAAGCTCTTGTCATCACACATGTTGCTATCTGTCGAGGAAACACCAATTAAACCCATCTGAAGTCATTGAACATCCTGTCTCAGAAGGGGTTGTGCTCTTCTCCATCAAGAAAACATTAGACGCAGCAATAAATCCCACCATACAGTCTTCAGTCCTGCTGTTGGCAGCTGGATGCTGCTTCACCTCATTCTTAAATGGAAATTTCTACATTTGCTCGAAGTTTTGAAATGGGATTGTTAGCAAAGAAGGCCAGTCTTAGAACCCCAGAGAAAGAGCTTGCCCCAAGGGTAAGCAACTGAGAGTCTGAGGAAGATGTGAGGCTTCCAAGGTGATATTTCTTAGACAGCTTCCAGATGGCCTCAGGGACTGAGCCCTGTCAGCCCAGGGGCAATGTTCTGAAGGAAAAACAGGCATGCCACCCGAAGGGCACTGATGTGAATTGGAATATCACTGATATTATTTTATAATGTTCTCTTGTCTACTACGCTAAGATGAACTTTCTGCTTTTTTGAACTATCTCTCGGCATTAACAGGCTTTCATACATGTCCTGAAACCTTTGTAAATAACAATCTAACTCATCCTCACCGATCTTTCAGAATGCAGGCCTGCCACTTTTTATCCTGGAGTCCTTTTATGTTTAATGGCAATGCACTTGCATGGGCTTGTGAGGAATTTTACTTTTTACCAGTGACCATCTGCCTTGGTGACAGACGATGATGACATGGTCACAGCCATACCTGGAGGGTCACGCTTAAGAGAGCCCCTGTCATCAGAGGTGGAGGTCATTATAACAACATAGGAGAAATGAAAAGGTCTTCAGAAAATGGGGCTGTATTACGCCAATTTAAAAAAAATAGAAATCTTAGCACATCTGGTAGCCCTTGTTTTCACCTCATCTATGAACATCACAGGCAAAACAAAGAGTTTCCTTCCTTCCCACAGAACAGAGGAGCAAAGAAAAAAAAAAAAGATAAGCCTAGAATAGCATGATTCAGAATCACGCAGAATCTAGCATAGCATGGGATTCAGCCTGACACAGAATCTAGCATAGTGTGAGCTACCACAGCTCCCTAAGAAGACTCCAAAGGATTTTAGGTAGAATTCTCTGGACTGTGTAGTTAATGAGAAAGGATTCAAAGGCAGAGAGACAGGTGGGACTTGGTTTGTCAGGATGCTCTCCAGATCTTAAAATACCACTACCAGGCACAAACACTCAGAGCTGACACAGTTTCCATAGCATGATGAGTATGTTACATCCAGTAAGTGACATTCTATCGTCAGGGACAACTAAGGGGAAACTGCCCCTGCTGTGTGCTATGCCTGACTTAGGCACCAGGGGTGGATGCTTATGATTGGAACCTTGGGATCTGAGCCCCATCAAAGGAAGAAACAATAAGGCCACATCGCCCTAGAGACAACCCTCCACCCTGAGCATCCTCTAACCCGTACTAGGAACACCCTCACTGTTCCGGTGTAGGCCTCGCGTGAGCCACCCATGCTACTACCCGGTGCAGACTTTCACGCTCTCCTTCTCCCACGTCCTAAATTAACTTTCCCTGCTGGGCCTTTGTGCACACCCCCTATGTTCCTTTAATGATGAGGCCGAGGACCTGACCTAAAAGGGTCTTACTTCCTCAGCTGACCTCTTTAATACCTACAGTTTTAACACCTTGGCCTTGGGTTTTTTTTTTCACCAAAATACAATGTGGTATTAAATATTATATTGACGTTTTCTTAATGTCATTATATAAATAAATTGGCCTCAAATGCAATGAGACTGGCTAGTGGGAAATCCGTAGTAATCTTTGCTGATAACTTATAATCACAGTGTTTCACGATCCCCACTGCTCTTTGGAGACAAGCCTTCCAAAGAGCTGTAATGTTTCTGAAGTGGAACTACCCAGACCAGGACTCGGAGTCTTGATCTACTTGTCCTAGCAGAGACCACACATAGGGAATAAAAATCATATTTTTTCTCATCTTGTTCATTTCCTTAGTCATAAGAAGCTTCTAGCTATGCAAGACACGTGATCACACACATGCACACACACACAAACACATGTGTGCGAGCGCACACACACACACAGGCCTACATGGACATTCAGTGCTTCCTATGAAGCAGCCAGTCACAGCTAAGAACAAGCAGTATCACTTATTCAATTCAAAACTTGAATTTGAGAAGGACAACGGTCAATGGGCCACATGATTTCTCCATTAGAAAGCACCCTAAGAAGCCCTCGGGTCCCAGCCCTCTCAACCATGGACAGAAACAGGGGTCCCAGAGAGCTGCTCCCTTTATCTGCCCCTTGGCTTTAGGCCGGGATCCAGTAGAGTGTACTGATGAAGAAATGCTTAAGGGAAAACATTCTTCTCTGCCTGGTATCTCTGCAGTTTCTGTGATGTTTGGTTTCGAGAGGCTCAAAGGAGCCTAGAATTTGCAGTTGGAGAAAGATAAGCCCAAGGGCAGGCATGGTCTTAGATGCTGAAAACCTGCCCCTCCCACACCAGAGCTAAACTACTGAAAGAAGCTAGCACACACCGAATGGCAGAAGCTGGAGAGCTTACTTCTCAGCTCAGTTCCTATTCCCTTCGTGGGCATGAGCAGTGGTGTCGCAAGCTTGGCCCCTGGTAGCTGAGACAGGATTGCCCATGCAAGCCTGCCCTGACCACTCACCGCTCTTTTCTGCCTTGGGTTTCGGCGGCTCAGGCTCAGGCAGACACGGACAGGGCCCATCGCAGAGGGAGCTGAGGCTTTTGCCTGTTGAACAAGCATGGAATTCCAACTTGCACTGCAAGAGAGAGACAGGGCAGACCGTCAAAACACAGCTCGCAAGACTCCTGCCCAGCTTTCCGGGAAGCAGCTGGCATCCTGGCTTTAAGGGGGCAAAGATGGAGAAGGGAGAGACCTACCCTCTCTGGCTTTCAGAACACTAACTTGGGATTGGCTTTTCTTTTTTTTTTTTTTTTTCAAAGTGTGCCAGATAACTTGCAAACCACAGCGGAAGCACCGGGAAGCTAATTTTAATTAACTGTAGGCTCAACTGTCATCATTTATAAAATACGAAGATTATCTGAAACTTAATGCATGTGGAGTTCTATATGACCCATGAAGCTCTCCCACTTCAGCGCTGAAGGCTTCCCAACAAATCCTCCCACACGGAGGAAGAGCTCGAGAACGTTCTTAGTAACCAGCTCTCTCATTACTGTGACAGTAATGAAAGAAGAAAGATTTGTTTTGCTCATGGCTTCAGCCCATCATGGTGGGAGGCCATGATGATAATACTGGCATCATGGTGGACAGGAAGCAAAACAGGAAGATGGGAGCCCGGGGCTGAACATAAGACAACACAGGCTGCAAGGGCATTTCCCAGCCAGCTCACTTCCTCCAAATAGCTTCCATTTCTTAAAGTTTCTAGACTGAAAATAGCATCCTCAGTTGGAGATGAAACATTCTACATCTGGAAGATGCTCCTGAGGTGTGCTGCCCCTTCTTCTCGGAGCGCAATGAAAACTTGTGCCTCCCCTGTCTGGAACTGAAGTCTACACTGGTCTTCTGTGGGCTGGAGCCCTACTATAACTGGCCTGGGACACAATGGGAAGTCTACCTAATTCTAGGATTCAGTGTTAGAAGCCACAACCTCCTGTCGTCTCTTATGGATAGCAATGGTGGCTTTGGGGTCCCTAAGGGAGAAGTCTCAATAGACTCAAAGCACAAGTAGAAGAAAAGTATTTACAGGTGTCCTAGACCACAGTGGGGTCCTCATTCTTATTACTTTTAATATTATTTTAAAAATTGAGGTTCTTTGAGGTTAAATAACTCATAAAAGACCTCAGCACTCAGCCAAATGCACGTCTGGCTTCAGAGCCAAGCTGTGAAGAGTCCTGAGATAGTTTCTGCTACATGGCTGGGGGCTCAGAGCACTAAAACTGTACCTACTGCCCCTTTGCCTCTGGCCCAGATGAGCTATCAGAGTTTTCTGCCTTCCTGCCTGTCAATTTCTCAGGATCAAGGCTTGCATATAATCAGTCTCCTGCAAAGGCCCAGGGCCTGCGAACCTGGTGGAGGTTCAAAGAAAGGAGAGATAGACAAACTTCCGCATCCACTCAGCATGCATCTCTTATCGGGTGCCATGGGGAATCATTTAGAAGAAAGGGAAGAGCAGACACAGTCCTTGCCCTTAGAAAACACAAATCATCTGCAAAAAGTAGCCAGCATTTGCAAAGAAACTCGCTGGAGTACAGGTGGACATGGGCTCACTGTGAGCGAACGGATGTTCAGTCCTCAGAATGACAACAAACCCAGGCAAATGTTGCTTCACAGACAGCTCCAAAGGTTCTGAGATCCTTGGGTATAAATCCAGCTGTCACCCATCCAAGGGGCAATGGCAGAGCAAGCTCCATCTCGATGCAAAGCTTCCTTCTATACATGATCCAGAAACGCCTAGCACGTGACCAGTGTGGTCACAGGACAGGGGCACTTTGTGAAACAAAGCCTGGCCCAGGCATCAAACATCACTTGCTCTGACTTGGGAGTAAATGCCAAAGTCATGTGGCCAGGGCTTTATGGTAAGGCTGACTTCATGAGTGTATGCAGCCAGGGCAGAAAGACCTCTGGGTATGGGAGGTGGCTGAGGCACCAAGCCAGAGGCCACCTGTGTCAATGTTCTCCTCAAACAGCACTGTGCCCTGTTTGATTTCTGGTGCTGTGATACACTCTGACAACAGGAAACTGGGTTTCAGGTTACAATCCATCCTGAAGAGAAGCAGAGGCAGGAACCTAGAGGCAGGAACTGAAGAAGAGACCATGGTGGATGCTGCTTACTGCCTTGCTCCCCGTGGCTTGCTCAGCTTGCTTTCTCATACAACCCAGGACCACCTGGCCAGGGGTGGTACCACTCAAAGTGGACTGCACACTCCTACGTGAAACATTAATCAAGAAAATGCTGTACAAACTTGTCCACAGGCCAGTCTGACACAAGCAATTCCTGACTTGAGGCTTCCTCTTCCCGGGGGACTCTAGCTTTGTCAAGTCTGACGTAAACTAAGCCACATACATGGCACATGCAGAGCTCCAGCCAGTGCCCTCTCCTTCCATCTCTTCCCCTTCCTCCATCTCTTCCCCACCCTCTTCCTCCATCTCCTCTTCCTCTTCTGGGTTGGCTCTCTAAACAACCCTCAGTTTCAGATTGGAGGTTTACAAACTAGTTTTCCCACAGACTCTCTGAATTTTATTTAGGTACAAAAAATACTTTTATGTGTAAATTTATTTCGTAAAGTTTACATTTTGCCTGAATTAATCGTTTTTGTAACTTCCTGCCATGTCTGTTATAGATGTAAATATTTTCCCTCACCAAACTCCTTGATTCTACACATTGCTCGTGCCCATGGCCCACACCTGCCTTATGACCCACACCTGCCTCCCCTGCCCCGTGGTCTCAGCATTGCAACGTGAGTGACTCTGACAGGCAGCTGGGTCAGCAGCTGAAGGAGCAGGCGCCAGTAGACACTTCTAGAGGCACCAGTTTCATTGCTTGCCTTGGGCTACTGGCAGAGTCAGCCTTCTCCTCCTGCCTCCCAGTAGCCAGAACCCCGTGTCCTGTGACCCAGACATGACCGCTTACAACCAAGCCTGCTTGGCTGAGCGGCAGCATCTCCTCTCATGTTCCCCTGGCAAACATCTGCAGAGACAACCGACTTCTCTGTATTCCAGACAGGAGCCACTGAGAAAATCGTTTTCACCTGTGCCAGTCGGATTCAAGGTTCAAGGGCACCTTATCTTCTAGGACAACTCGTGACATGCAAGTGAAGTTCAAAGTACTGTAATCCCAAGGCTAGAGGGATGGCTCAGCAGGTAAGAGCACTGGCTGTTCTTCAAGAGGATCTGGGTTTGATTCCCAGCACCCTCACGGTAGTTTACAACCTCCTGTAACTCTAGTTCCTGAGAATTATATGCCTTCTTTTGGCTCCCATGAGAACAAGGTAGCCTCATGGTACATACACATACATGCAGGCAAAGCAATTCATGTGAGCAAAATACTTAAACACATAAAATAAAAATCAATTTAAGAGATTTTAAATGGCTGTAATCCCACCATTTTATTTGAATTTTTAAAATTCTATTTGAATTTAGAAATTCAAAACAGGCTATACAAATATCCATACAGACAGAGACAGTAAAAACTCATAACAGGGGTACAACAAATGCCATTAAGCGATGGTGACTTCCCCGGGGACAGGGCAGGGCACACCGACACATCACAAAAACAGGTGATGTGTGCTTCACACTTAAATTCAGCTCTCCTTTTTTAACCTTGCTGCTGGACTTAACAACTTATAAATGATTCACATCTTAGACATCATACATTTTATAATATACAGGCTTCTCTGGGGATGGTAACCAAGCCAGAACCAGGCTGCCCACTACCTGGTACTGGGGGCTGTCCTCTCAGAAACTCTGAACTGGAATCCTGAACCACACCTGTGGGAGCCCCCAGACCATGTGGTAGAGGCACAGGTGTTCCCAGGCCTGCGGCTCGAGACTAGGGCATCTCCATAAACGTTCCCTTCTGCAGCTCTTCTTTTATCTATCTCCCAGTAGGTAAGTAAGGTTCCCAGATGCAATGCCATCCTTCTTCACGAGGCTATTGCCAGGCTAGGCTCTATGCCACCTTACCCAGAGGGGTCTGGTGACTCTTGGAGAGAAAACCTTCCTGCTGAGGGAGTTCTACAAAGCTGGTGTGGCCTCCCACTCCCAAGCTTTAGATTACGGCCCCCAGGTGGAGCCAGCTGACTGCACGGAGCTGATTGGACAGCGCAAACACATGTAATGGTTTAGGAATAATTACAACGCAGTTATACTGTGCCCTTAGTTCAGGCCTGCTAAGAAAATGGGAGCAGCAAGGAGAGAGGTTAAAGCAAGCGTTTCCACTGCCCCCAACTAGAAACAGGTACATAGCCCGAGATGTTGGGCTTCCCAATTTAGCTGTAATAACAAGACATGCATAGCGGTACTTTTCTCTTTGGGAAAGAGGCAGTAGAGAGTGGAGCAGCACAAGAGAATGAAGGAGTCTGCAGGGGAGATGTGGGGAAGGGAGACAGGGAGTCCTGAGCATCCTCCCAACATCATGGGGTACCAGCAGCCCCATCCTCCTGACTTTAGGGCAAATAGTAGGGGATGAGAACCTTTTCTATAGCATGTGCAAAGCAGGGGCTAAAACTGATACAAGTGTAGACGCAGAGTGCTATGCCATGAGGAACCAGTCTGATCATCTCTACACCTGCCTGGAAGAGAGGGAGGAGCCAGGCAGTCAGAACATGGTGAGCCAAGCTCAGCTTTCACAGCAGGGCAGTTAAAAAACAAACAAAACTGGAAAGTGTGACCTTCTTGGGGGCTAGTGAAAGGGTCTAGCGTAACTTGTCTGTCACTTTAAAAAAAAACCATTGATGTTGAATGTAAAACAGAGGAAGCAGGTGTTAGCAAATCCTCTGGACTAAGAGGCTCTGGGCTCCTAACAGCTCAGGAGAGCCAAAGCAGGAGACCTCCAAGGGAAGGACTGAAAGACACCCACTGGGAGAAAGGTTGAGTGTGTACTGCCCGCTGGAGAACCATCCCTCCAGCCCCGCCCACCCCAGAAGAGGCTACTGCAGAGAAGCCCTAGCTACCCTCTCTGGAAGCCCACCTCCCTCTAGGGCCCAACTCCATCCCACGTGCAAGCTGTGTCCAAATGAGTCTCAGACCTTTCTTTTTACCAGTGGAGGCTTCACAAAAGCAGGCTGGGGTAGGCCTGAA